CAAAACATTTGCTCTCCACTTAAGCCCCTGGCATCAGCTCCTCATTTTTCCCCTCCCTCCCTGCTCCCCCTTCCCTCATGAACCCTAGATAATGTATAAATAATTGTTTTGTCATATCTTGCACTGTCCAACGTCTCCCTTCACCCATGTTTCTGTTGTCCATCCCCCAGGGAGGTTATATGTAGATCCCTGTAATCGGTTCCCAATTTCCACCCCACCCTCCCTCCATCCTCCTGATATCCCCACTCTCACCACTGGTCCTGAAGGGATCATCCATCCTGGATTCCCTGTGTTTCCAGTTCCTTTCTGTACCAGTGCGCATCCTCTGGTCTAGCCAGATTTGTAAGGAAGAATTGGGATAATGATAGTGTGTGTGTGTGGGGTAGCATTCAGGAACTAGAGGAAAGTTGTATGTTTCATCGTTGCTACACTGCACCACCCTAACTGGATTGTCTCCGCCCCGCGACCCTTCTGTAAGGGGATGTCCAATTGCCTACAGATGGGCTTTGGGTCTCCACTCTACAATCCCCCTCATTCACAATGATATGATTTTTTTGTTCTGATGATGCCCGATACCTGATCCCTTTGACACCTCGTGATCACACCGGCTGGTGTGCTTCTTCCATGTGGGCTTTGTTGCTTCTGAGCTAGATGGCCGCTTCTTTACCTTCAACCCTTCAAAACCCCAGACACTATATCTTTTGATAGCTGGGTACCTCAGCTTTCTACGCCACATTTGCTTATTCACCCATTTGCCTTCAGCGATCATATCAGGGAGGTGAGCACACAATAATATGATTTTTTTTTCTTTGATGCCTGATAACTGATCCCTTCAGCACCTCGTGATCACACAGGCTGGTGTGCTTCTTCCATATGGGTTTGTTGTTTCTGAGCTAGATGGCCGCTTCTTTACCTTCAAGCCTTTAAGACCCCAGATGCTTTATCTTTTGATAGCTGGGCACCATCAGCTTTCTTCCCCACATTTGCTTATGCACCCGATTTGTCTTCAGTGATTGTGTTGGGAAGGTGAGCTTCATGGAATGTCAGTTTAATAGAACAAAGTGTTCTTGCACTGAGGGAGTACTTGAATGGAGGCCCAATGTCCATCTGTACCTTAATAATAAATCTGTACATATATGCACATAGCTCTATCTCCACATCCTCATATGTAAATATATTTACATATGTACATGCCTTTATTTAGACCTCTATAAATGCCCTTTACCTCCTAACTCTTTCCTCTATTTCCTTTACTTTCCTCTTGTCCCACTATCATGTTCAGCCCTCATTAGGGTTTCAGTAATTCCTCTCGGTTACATTACCCTTGGTCACGCCCTACCAGGCCTCCTACACCCTCCTCACCACTGATTTGGATCACTGCTTCCCTCTTAGGTCTAAAATTGACAACAGATTATATAACTACCACAGTATTTTAGAACATTTTCTTCATTTGTTATTAGTGCCTCATTCCCCCCCCAACTTCCCCAAAGAATCATTAATCCAGTTGATGTCTCTATAGATTTTAATCTGTAGAGTTACTGTCTTTAATTAATTATGTTACTGTCTCTATAGATGTACTCATCCTAGATTTCATATACAGAAAAACACTAAAATAAAACAAAAAACTAACAACAAGAACAAAGTAAAGCAGAGAATGACCTTAATTGAAAAGAAAGCAGAAAATATTAAAAAACTATAACAAATTAAAAATCTTACGGATAGCAATGGAACACTGTCAGAGATTGGACAGATCTTGCCAAACTACCTACCTCCCATGATAGGTCATATACTGTCCACCCAAAGGGAGCTATGTCCTAAGCTCTGGAACGTATGAATAACACAATGAATTTTGTAGATCTGATTAAAGATCTTAAGATAGGAGCTTATCACAAAGGTCCTTATGTGAGGGAGCAGGAGGAGGATCAGAATCAGAAACAAAGAGGGTGGAAGATGCTATGCTGTTGGGTTGTAGGATGGAGAAGGAGTCGGCAACCTTTTTTTTTTTTTGGCAAACCTTTGAGATGGGAGAAACTATCCTGTCCCTCACAACGATTTAAAAATTATTCAAGAGCCATAACTATATTTTTACAAACAAATGAAATCTCTACTATCTGAATGATACCCTTCAAAATTTTTATAAATGAATCTATGATTGTTTTAGTGTCATTTTCAATTTTACTTCACGAGCATACACAAATGGCTCGTGAGCTGCAGTTTGATTTTAGTTCACTTGTTATTCCCTTGTCCCTGGGTTGGTTTCCACCCCAACCCCTTCCTTTCTCCCACCTTCCCTTCTCCTGTATCCCCCTGGAACCATTTTGGTTCTATTCTTTTAATCTCCAAATTGTTTATCCCACCTATCTTATCTAGATAGACATGCAGATACATCAATAAGTGCAAAAACCAGGCAAAGCCAAATGAAACATCAAAGGAAGTCAAAACCAACAAAACAATAACACCAACAAAGAAAAACAAAAACAAAGTAACAATAATAAAAAGAAGGCCACTGATACAAATGGAAAAACCTATAAATAGTTTAAGGTCTGTTTGTTGGCCTTTACGAGTGTTTTCCAGTCGAGTCTGATGGGGTGACACACTCTGTCTCCCAAGTCTATTTTTGGTATTCCCCGGGGATTTCATCACTCTGCTCCCCCTGCTGCTCTGCTGCATGCCCTCAGTGCCTCACTCCAGCATGATGGGGCCGGACTGTGCACTATTCCCACACCGTGTCTCCAGAGCTGTCCCCTGCAGCGCCATGGTTCAGTGAGGGACGCCATGTCCCGTGGTGGGGCCAGCCCTACGGTCCTGCCTGTGCATTGTCTGCTCCGAGCAGGAACACTGTCCTCGGGGCTTGGTGGGCCAGGATGTCCTCTCCTCCCTCTCCATCCCTTTCAGTTTCTTCTGTGTGCTCTAAACCGACGTGCCCCTGTTCCCAAGCTGTAGCACCAGTGCTGTCCTCTGAAGTGCATTCTTGAGGGGAGGGTGGGGTGTCCACATAGTTGGGATTGGGGCTGGCCCTGCAGACCTCTCTATTGGTTCCCTGGTACATGCCCGTATGTTGTATTCATATCTTGGCACATCGGGTTGAAGACTGGTCTCTCTCTCCCTCTCCTCCCAATTTTGTAGTCTGGCAGCAGGAGCTCCCAGCGGGTAAATCTAACTCGATGCCATCTTCCTCCGTCCCATACTAGATTTTAAGGTACTAAACTAAACTTTCTTTAAGCTCTCTATCAATAATATGAGGGGGCTTCAGAAAGTTTGTGGAAAATTGGAATTGAAAGATAATGTGATTTTTCCATGAACTTTTTAAAGCTTCCTCATATGTTACTATTTGAGGAGTTTCAGGAATCACTTCCATTGAAACAATCAATATTACTCTGCTTATAACTGTACCAGAAATTAAGGCTTTGAATCCTAATTCCAATTGCTTCTTCAATCAACAGAAGAAAAACCAACATTAAGTGGTAAAAATGACTGTAGTTAATTTTTTCCCAATTGAGAGCTTAGTAACTAAATAGTATAGAGACACTGTGTTTATTTAATGAACTCCCTAAAAACTGTTAAATTGTTATTGATTTTGCAAATAAATTTTACTTAGGTATAATTTGCAAAAAAGAATAATTTAAAGTGAGTTGAAATAACACAAATTATGAAAATTAACAAATAACAAAACATTACCTTTCAACGCTCATACTTTTTCTCTCACCATCCCTTAGGGAGGGAAAAAAAGAGGTTTACTTACTTTCTCAAAGAAAACTAATTGCCATTTAGTCAACCAAGAGAATAATTGGATTAATTTTTTTTATTAAACATCATGAAAAACAATGAGATGTTCTTATGGAGAGGGCTTCAAAATGTTCCATTATTTTATAATTCCATTTTTCTACAAACTCTTTGAAGCTCCCTTTGCATCTGAAAATGAAAAGTTCACCAGGGAACGGAGATGGATAAGATGCAAATGTGATTAGATGTGCCATGGATCAAGGCTGTATCTACTGAAGAGAATACACTTGAAAATAAACGTGGTATTATTAAATGCTCCTACCAAAGGCCTTAATTTGAAAAACCACACTGATAAAGACCATTTTGAAGTGATAGTAGAAAATTTTATAGCTATAATAAATAAATTTAATATCAGTTATCTAGTTTTCAGCCTGGAACATTAACTTCCCTCTCCCACAACCAACTCATTATTCATTTCTATCACTTTATAAATCTGGTCCACGTAAGAAAGTGAAGGCAATGGACTCTGAGCCAACTGCATTGGCTAGATTCTAAGTGCTCTAATAAGACCAACTGAAACTATGTGTAGATTATTCATCTTCCAAATACTTATCAAACTGACTATGAATCAAGCACTAGTCTAGGTCCTGTCGATGCAGTTATGAACAAAAGAGACCAAGCACTTGTCCAAGAAATGTATAGGCAGGAGACAGATACATGGAGATGCCAATATGTACTGTTAAAATGGGGGGGAAAGTCCTACAGATTACAAAGTAAAGCAGAATAGGGGCTCTACTTGAAAAACAGGCTTTCTATTTTATATGATCATAAATTACTTATGAATTCTTTTTGTGTGTGTGTGATCAAATTACTTTATTGGGGGTTGGGGGCAATGAGGTCCGACGACAGCAGTCTGACTGACTCTGGCAGCCGCCTACCGATGGATTCTATGTGAAAGCAGGACCAGCATCTCAAAATACCATGGGCTGAAATGTGATGTGACAGAAAGAACTATATAATTTTCTTGTACTATGAAAATAAAAAGATAAAGAAAAAATTTTATTTGCTCTTATCTTCAAATGCCGGATTATTTTTATATTATAGACTTTGTCTCTTGTCCTTCATTATACTCACCTAAGACCAAAGTCAGCTAACTGTGTCTCTTAAGAATGAGGAGTAGGGAGAGTTGAAAAAAGCAATACAGCCAGTTTTGCAATCTCTACTATGATTAGGCAGGTTTCACTGGTGATAAACGATGTAACTATTATTTTATTTTATCTACCTCCTCAGTAACCTTACTGTTGTCATTAGTATAAGTTCTAGAATATAAAGGAATCATTTTGATGACTGTCAGGCTGTCAGGATGAAAGCAAAATTGTAAGACTAGTGCCCAGATTTTACTTCCATGATTCTCTTTGTAAAATCCCTCTTTTACACCCACCTCCAATAATGTAGCCTTCTAGCTCCAGGGAACATCTTTATATACAAGACCTAGATGAAAAAGTAACAAGAAGAATGCACACAGGGTTCTCTCCCCTTGGCCTGAAATGCTTCTCAGGTCTCTACCTCTGGCTGACCTCGACCACCCCCTAATCACACCTTCCCATGCCCCCACTGGTTATTATGCCTTCACACGGCTTCATTTTCTTCATTTGTTGTGTATTTATTTTCTGTTCCCACGTAAGTCTGTATGCTCCATTTGCTGCTACTTCCTACAACACTGCCTACCATGAAAGAGGTACTCAGTATTAAAAGGATGATTTACACATCTGGGAAATAATTACAGGTAGCTCACTAAGGTTTTCGAAAAACATCATGAAATGTTCTGAGTTTAAAAGTTAATTTTGACATGTAAAGCATATTTCATTCCTCTGCTGTTCTGAACAAACAACAAGGCAGGGACCCAGGAGAAGGTGGTCATTATTCATTCCTCTTGTCCATTTGCCCAATTGCTCAAGCCAACACCGGGGTGATTTGTTATTCCTTTTCCTCTCTTCTCTGACAGTTAATTTGTTGGCTGCAATTCAAGACAATATTCTGAATACCACGAGCCTCACAGAATTTTCAGGCACCTGGGTGGTGAGATGATTACAGTGTTTGGCTTCTAAACACAAGGCCAGCACTTGGAACCCCTCTGCTTCCAGGAAGGAAGATGCGGCAGCCTGTGCCTGGGAAGATGAGAGGTGGGGAGTCTGTGGGGCACTTCTACTCTGTCCTAGAGGGCTGTGAGGTGTTGGAATGGACCCACTGGCAACAGATTTGTTGGTTTAACAGAATTGTAACACATGCTCTCCTTACGCTTCTCATCTCAGTGAGAAAAATGGATTTTCAGCAAATGATAAAGAACAAAATGAATGAGTTCGCCAATACCTTTCCAGATGGGTTGAGCCTAGTCCCAGGGAGATATGGAGGAAATAATGCCACGATGTTTCAGAGAAGAGGAGAGAAAGCAAAGCTCTTTGTTGGTAGAGTTCTGTGCAAGTAATTACTCCGAGGGCCTTTAACATTTTCTCTGTAACTTTTCCAATTCCCGAGATCTAAAGCGGAATCAATATTTATCACTTTTAGACTTTTAAAGTAAGATAAAAATTGTGTTTATAACTCTACAAAATGCATTAATAGTGTGACTGACAGTAAAAATCATACAAGGAAATCAGTTTACTTTTGAACAGTCAAACTAGCATTCCATGGAATTTTAAAAAGTGTTTAACATTTAAAAAAATAATTCTGTACTCATATCAACTTGAAAACTGGTAGGATAAACAAATTTAAATTGGAATTTTTTTACTGCTGACTTAGGAATTTGTAATATACTGAGATAGTTTATTGTGCCAGTCTGGCCGATAAACACAAGTAGGATTAACTGAAGGGTGGAGAGATAATGGCTCAGTGAGCCTCACCTTTCTTGTCTCTTGCTCTTTGATCATCGGGACTAGTGTGCGGCTGCCTTGCTTGTTCTGTGCCTCAATTTATAGGCTACACCACCTGTGGGATGCCTAGCCTGTGGACTGTGTCGCTGTAAGTTGAGGTTCCTTTAAGACATCTCTGGAGCTGGGGACTGGCAGTTGGGACTGGTGGTTAGTTGACAGTTGGTTATCTGCCTTGTGATTGGCTGCTGTGCTGAGATAGCCTCACTCTCTCGAAAAATAGAGGGAGATCTGGCAGCAGATGAGACTCGAAGGACTAAAAGTCTTCATTTCTTGTATTATATATTTATCTGTATATGATTTAACAGTTCATTTAACAGTTCATTTCTTGTTATATATCTAATTATCTTTATAAATAAATATATTTAATTATCAGCAATTTGGTTTTATCTCTCTAGAGAACCCTGTCTAACACATATACTAATAACTATTGTAACCCAGAAAGAGTGGTACACACCAGTTATTTGACTGAAGAACTTTCTTAATGGAACACTTATTCATACTTTGAAAAGCACCTTGGAAAAACACTGTGCTACAATTAAACTTTCCACATTTTGGTTTTTCTCCTAGTCAGAAACATACAATTCTTTTACCAGATATTTCACTCAAAGATTCTTGATTGAACAGGTATGCCAACACTTTTTCACCTAAGAGTAAACAGTCTTCATATAAAAAAGATCTCATGCTCATATCCATTGTATAATAAAATGAGGTGTAAAAGCAAAAAACCCAAAACATACCATTTTAAACCTCTTTGAAGATTAATCTGGTAGCAATGTGGGCATCAGAACTAAGGTGGTGTTAAGTTATTGATAAAAGAACTCTTAGAAATACTCTTTCATATACAAGCCCCCAATAAAATGATTTAAAACAAGAAGTACATTTTTCTCAAAAAGAAAAGAAATACTCTTCAGTTCCCTTATCCTTGGAAGGAGAATACTTATAAGTCTGCCATTTATTATTTTCTTTAAAATAGCCAGTAGAGAAAAAAATCCCAAATTACGTTTTTAGGACTTTAAAACTAAGATTTTTTTCAAGTCCAAATTAAAAAACCTATTATAGTTTTTGCTTGTTACCTATTATTTTATTTTCAGCAAAGAATGATTATCTCAGCCTAGACAATCTCCCACCAGAATACAGAGTACATACAGAGATAGTCAATTTTACATTGCATCTCACCTTTCTAATGGGAAGATCCTTGATGAAATCCATTACAGCTTGTCTGTTGGGGAGAATCTGGTATTGTCCATTTGGTTTATTCTTATCACTGCATACTTTTGCTAACATCGTATTTGGGGCAATACCTTAAAAGAAAAACACTGATGACTCAAAGAGGTTAGATGTATACCTTTAAAATACACAATGACAGCGCTGAAAAAAAATAACAATGCTAACTGGACACAATAGGAAATGAATGGAATGCTACTTTTAAAATAGCACTGGATTACTATCTATCTCCTACAGACTTAATATGGCTCTGAGAAAAGGATAATAGTTACTGTGGAAGCAGAATGGGAAGAAGTTAAATCTCCAGGAAAATTTAAAGTTGATGGTGCCAAGCTGTCAAAT